TCTTTCGTACCCATGACCACAGACTTTGTGGTGTCCAGGCCCCCCTGGACGGCCCCCTTGGCCACGTTCACGGCACCAGTCACCCCACTGCAGACAGTGTCTTTGGTACCAGTTAGGACGGTCTTGGTGGTGTCCATGCCAGTATGAATGGTTCCTTTGGCCAAGTTCATGGCACTGGTCACCCCACTACAGACGGTGTTTTTGGTACTGGTTAGGACGGTCTTGGAGGTGTCCACGTCGGTCTGGACAGCCCCTTTGGCGACATTCACCGCCCCCATGAGGCCAGTAGTCACCGTGTCCTTGGTGCCTGTCAGCACGGTCTTGGCCGTGTCTACACCCGTCTGGACAGCCCCCTTGGCCACGTTTGCTGCCCCTGTGAGCCCAGTGGACACTCTGTCTTTCGTACCCATGACCACAGACTTGGTGATGTCCAGGCCTCCCTGGACGGCCCCTTTGGCCACATTCATGGCACCAGTCACCCCACTGCAAACAGTGTCTTTGGTACCGGTTAGGACAGTCTTGGATGTGTCCATGCCTGTCTGGATGGTTCCTTTGGCCACATTCACGGCCCCTGTGAGTCCAGTGGACACAGCATCTTTGGTGCTGGTCAGCAGAGTCTTGGAGGTGTCCACACCTGTTTGGACGGCCCCTTTGGCCACATTCACGGCACCAGTCACCCCACTGCAAACAGTGTCCTTGGTACCTGTCAGCACAGCCTTACTTGTGTCCACGCCGGTCTGGATGGTCCCTTTGGCCAAGTTCACTGCCCCGGTGACTCCTGTGGACACGGCGTCTTTAGTGCCAGTCAGGACAGACTTTGTAGTCTCCAGGCCCCCATGGACGGCCCCCTTGGCCACATTCACAGCACCAGTCACCCCACTGCAGACAGTGTCTTTGGTACCGGTTAGGACAGTCTTGGAGGTGTCTACACCGGTCTGGACTGTCCCTTTGGCGACATTCACCGCCCCCATTAGTCCAGTAGTCACTGTGTCCTTGGTGCCGGTCAGCACGGTCTTGGCCGTGTCTACACCCGTCTGGACAGCCCCCTTGGCCATGGTTGCTGTCCCTGTGAGCCCAGTGGACACTGTGTCTTTTGTACCCATGACCACAGACTTGGTGGTGTCCAGGCTACCTTTGACAGCCCCCTTGGCCACGTTCACGGCACCAGTCACCCCACTGCAGATGGTGTCCTTGGTACCAGTTAGGACAGTCTTGGAGGTGTCCACACCAGTCTGGACAGTCCCTTTGGCGACATTCACCGCCCCCATGAGGCCAGTAGTCACTGTGTCCTTGGTGCCGGTCAGCACGGTCTTGGCCGTGTCTAC